GGGTTTAACAGACATCTATAGAACACTCCATCCAAACACAAAAGAATATACCTTCTTCTCAGCTCCACACGGAATCATCTCAAAAATCGACCACATACTTGGCAACATAGCAAACCTCAACAGGTACAAAAAATTGGAATAACTCCATGTATCTTATCAGACCATCATGCCTTAAAGTTAGAATTCAACAATAACACAAATCGCAGAAACCCTGCAAACTCATGGAAATTAAGTGCTAAGAGGAAAGTTCATATCACTAAGGGCCCACATGAAGAAACTGGGGAATAGTTATACTAGAGAATTAGCCGCACAACTGAAAGCTCTAGAACAAAAGGAAGCAAACTCACCCCAGAGGAGCAGACGCCAAGAAATAATTAAATTGAGGGCTGAAATCAATAAAGTAGAAACTAGGAAAAATTATACAAAGAATCAATGTAACAAAGAGTTGGTTCTTTGAGAAAATCAACAAGATAGACAAACTTTTATCCAAACTTACCAAACTGCAGAGTGTGAACATGCAAATTAATAAAATCAGAAATGAAATGGGAGACATAACAACAGACAGTGAGGAAATCCAGAGAATCATCAGGTCATATTTTGAAAAGCTGTACTTGACAAAATTTGAAAATGTAAAGTAAATGGACAATTTTCTGGATAAATATGACTTACCAAAATTAAATCAAGAACAGATAATCAATTTAAATAGTCCTATAACTATAAATAGTTAAATAGTCCTATAACTATAAATAGAAGCAGTCATCAAAAGTCTCCCAACCAAAAAAAGCCCAGGGCCAGATAGCTTCAGTGCAGAATTTTACCAGAAATTCAAAGAACAGCTTATATTAATTCTCCTCAAAGTATTCCATGCAATAGAAGCAGAAGGGTCTTTGCCAAACTCTTTACGAGGCTTCAATAACCTTGATCCCCAAGCCACACAAAGACACAACTAAGAAAGAGTGCTTCAAACCAATATCCCTCATGAACATTGATTCAAAAATACTCAATAAAATACTGGCAAATAGGATCCAAGAACACATCAGAAAACTCATCCACCATGATCAAGTAGGCTTCATTCCAGAGATGCAGGGATGGTTCAACATAAGAAAATCCATCAATGTAATCCACCATATAAACAAACTGAGAAACAAAATCACATAATCATCTCACTAGATGCTGAAAAAGCCTTTGATAAAATCCAACACACCTTGGAGAGATCTGGGATAACAGGAACTTACCTAAACATCATAAAATCTATATACAGCAAACCAACAGCCAACATCAAGCTGAATGGAGAGAAACTCAAGGCAATTCCTCTAAGATCAGGAACAAGGCAAGGCTGTCCCCTCTCTCCATACCTCTTCAGTATTGTACTGGAAGTTCTAGCTAGAGCAATAAGACAACAAAAGGAGATCAAGGGGATAGAAATTAGAAAGGAAGAGGTCAAACTTTCACTATTTGCAGATGATATGATAGTTTACATAAGTGAACCAAAAAACTCTACCAGGGAACTCTTACAGCTGATAAACCCCTTCAGCAATGTGGCAGGATACAAGATCAACTCAAGAAAATCAGTAGCCCTACTATATACATACGATAAAAGGGCTGAGAAATAAATCAGAGCAACATCACCCTTTACAATAGCCACAAACAACATAACATACCTGGGGGTAATGCTAGCCAAACAAGTGAAAGACCTCTTTTGAAAGAACTTTGAGTGTTTAAAGAAAGAAATCAAAGAAGACACCAGGAAATGGAAAGATCTCCCATGCTCTTGGATAGGTAGGGTCAATGTAGTAAAAATGGCAATCCTGCCAAAAGCAATCTACAGACTCACTGCTATCCCCATCAAAATTACAGCACAATTCTTCACAGACCTTGAAAGAACAATTCTCAACTTTATATAGAAAAACAAAAAACTCAGGATAGCCAAGTCAACCACGCTCAACAAAGCAATGTCTGGAGGCATCACCATCCCTGAGTTCAAGATCTATTATAGAGCTATAGCCCTGAAAACAGCTTGGTATTGGTACAAAAAATAGACAACTTGACCGATGGAATCGAATTGAAAACCCTGAGATTAGTCCACAAACCTATGAACATCTGAATTTTGACAAAGAATTTAAAATTATATAATGGAAAAAAGATAGTATCTTCAACAAATGGTGCTGATATAACTGGATATTGGCATGCAGAAGACTGCAGATAGATCCATTCTATCGTCGTGTACAAAACTTAAGTCTAAATGGATCAAAGACCTCAACATAAATCCAGCCACACTGAACCTGTTAGAAGAGAAAGTGGGAGGTATCCTTGAACGAATTGATACAGGAGATTGCTTCCTGAATGTAACAACAGTAGCCCAAACACTGAGATCGACAATTAATAAATGGGACCTCCTGAAACCGAGAAGCTTCTGTAAGGCAAAGGACACAGTCAACAAGACAAAAAGGCAGCCCACAGAATGGGAAAAGATATTCACTAACCCCACATCTGACAGAGGGCTGATCTCCAAAATTTACAAAGAACTCAATAAGCAAGTATCCAAAGCACCAAAGGATCCAATTAAAAAGTGGGGGACTGAACTAAATAGAGAATTCTCAATAGAGGAGTATAAAATGGCTGAGAGACACTTGAGAAAGTGCTCAACATCATTGGCCTTTAGGGAAATGCAAATCAAAGCAACTCTGAGATATCATCTTACTCCTGTCAGAATGGCTAAAATAAAAAACACCAATGACAGTTTGTGCTGGAAAGGATGTGGAGAAAGGGGAACACTCCTCCACTGCTGGTGGGAGTGCCAACTCATACAGTCACTATGGAAATCAGTATGGAGATTCCTCAGGAAAATGGGACTCAGTCTACCACAAGACCCAGCAATTCCACTCTTAGGCAGATACCCAAATGATGCCTATTCACACAACAAGGATGTCTGTTCCACTATGTTCATAGCCACATTATATGTAATAGATAGATCCTGGAAGCAACCTAGATGCCCCACAACTGAAGAGTGGATAGAGAAAATGTGGTACATTTACACAAAGGAGTACTACTCATTGGAAAAAACAATGGAATCTTGATATTTGCAGGCAAATGTATGGCACTACAGGAAAACATCCTGAGTGAGGTAACCCAGACACAAAAAGACAAACATGGTATGTACTCACTCATGTATGGATTGTAGATATGGATCAGGGCAGTGCCAGGCTAAAATCCCAGTGCCAGTGAGCCTGGGAAAGAGGGAGTTTCCCAAGACAGATGCATCATACCCTAGAGAAGTGGAATGAGCCAAGATCTCCTGAGCAGATTGGGAACATCGGGGGAGGGGAGAGGGGACCAGGAAAAAGAGAGGGGGATGAGAAGAAGGAAAAGAAGGCATGGGGGAGCAGGAAGTTTGAGTCGAGGTAAGAATAGAGGAGAACACGATGAGAGATACCATAATAGATCGAGTCATTATAGGCTTGAGGAGAGAGCTGACACTAGTGAGATCTCCAGAGATCTCCAAGGATAACACCAACTGGCAAACTAAGCAATAGTGGAGAGACTACATTAAGAGCTCCTCCTTGATGATAGGGTTGATGACAACCTAGAACCTTCATCCAGTGACTGATGGAAGCAGAGACAGATACCCACAGCTAACCACTGAACTGAACTCCTGGAACCCAGTGACAGAGATGGAGGAGTCATGAGCAAAGGGGTCAAGACCATGATGGTGAAAACCACAAAGACAGCTGACCGGACAAGTGGGAGCTGTTGAACCCCAGACTGATGGCTGAGAGACCAACAGGGGACTGATCCAGACTCCATGAATGTAGTGTCAGTGAGGAGGCCACAGAAATCACCGTGGCCTTGGGTAGTAGATCAGTGTTTACCATGGTGTATGAATGATCTTTGGGAGCCCATTCCAAATAGAGGGATGCTCTCTCAGCCTGGACACATGGGGAAGGGCCTAGATCCTGCCCTGGATGAAATGACAGACTCTGGAGATTCCCCCCCAAGGAGGGCCTCACCCTCCCTGGGGAATGATGTGGTTATTAGGTGGGGGGGCTAAAGGGGCTAATGGAGGGCCAAGGGAGGAGGGGTGGGATTGACATGTGAAGCATTCATGTTTCTAATTTAAATAAAAACATATATTGAGGGAAAATGACCCCCATAGGCTCATATACTTGAATGCTTTGTCATCCGGGGAGTGGTACTACTTGAGAAGAATTAGAAAGTGTGGCCTTGTTGGAAGAAGTATGTCACTGGAGGGTGGCCTTTGAAGTTTCAAAGGTCCAAGCCAGGCCCAGTGTCTCTTTCTCTTCCCGCTGCTTTTGGATCCAGATATAAAACTCAGCTACTTCTCCTGCATGGTGTTCCTGGAGTGCTGCCTGTGGTCCACCATGCTTCTCACCATGGTGATAGTGGACTAACTCTGAAACTGAAAGCAAGCCCTAATTAAATGCTTTCTTTTATAAGAGTTGCCTTGGTCATGGCATCTCTTCACTGTAACAGAACACTAATTAAGACACCTTCCAAGATAATAGTTTTCTTATAGCACATGAGAACCGACATTTCTATTAGGGATTATGGAAAAGAAGACATGTTATCAAATGTAACTAGATAAACAACGATAAGATAGAGAGAAAAAGATACAGATGTGATAGATGAAAATATAAACTGTCTTTAGACTCTGTCCATCCCCTGACTTGTTGCTGTGACTAAATGCCCAGCAAACACAATTTAAGAATGAAAGGCTTTAATTCTGCCTCACAGTTTGGGAGTATAAACACACTGTAGTCAAGAAGGTAGGGCAGCTAGAGGTGCGTGGCAGTCAGAATATGAAACTGAGTCTCAATGGGCAGAGAAGCAAGAAGAGGTGGGTGTTGGTGCTTAAAGTCACTTTCTGCTTTCCCCTTCTCATTTAGTCCTGGCCCCCAAGTCATTAAATGATGCACCCACATTCCAGACATTCTTTCCTTAATTAATCCTCTCTAGGAAGCTGTCACAGACAAACCACAGTGTGTCTTCTCAGTGTTTATTAATACAATCAATTCATAATTTAAATTGTCACACAAACTCCAAAAACAAAGGAGTCTCCTGCATATATTCTGAAGTGGTTCTCACTCGAGCCTTTGAAAGCAGCATGGGGGAAAAGGGAGTATGTGATAGACCTAAACTATATTTACATGTTTTTCAGGTTTTAAATTTTTCCTCACAGGAACCACAATTTCAATGCTGTGGGGAAAACCTTTGCTCATAGGGAGCAGGAAAATGTTTCTGGGCCTGTGACATAGTGTTCTCTTTTGTTTCTCTGTGGTTCAATCCTCAAGTTCAAATCCTGCCTCATTCACAAACATATCAGTCTTGACCTTCCATGGAAGGACATAAGCTGGCTCTGTGCAGTCTCTAAACTCCAGCATCCTGGCTGTGTGGACATTCAGGCAAGCATAGCATCCTGCTCATTCTGCATCTTAGGGAAGGGAAGCCAAGTTCTGTTCTGCTGCATTCCTAGAGGGCTCAGGGTAGGCTAGGTAAATAGAGCCATCAGGAACAGTTCTGAGCTATTCTCCCTGAGCCTTGGAGCCACTGTGGCTGGCTGTAAGGTCCAGAGGGTTGAATGAGCTAAAACTTGGCTTGCAGAGGAGCCAAGAATGTCTCTGCTAAACTCCTTAAGGGTCTCCAGAGAAGGCCAGGCAGGTTGAATAGACATCTCAAGGATATTTGGACGGAATCCCACCACTCTAAGATGTTATACACCCTGCACCAAGGAATTCTGTGATAGAAGAATGCTCGGCTCAGTTTCAGGAACAGTGTCCAACTGTTCGACACTGAACTCTATCCTGTCCATCCTCCTCATGCCCTGCCTCCCCCAATTCACCCGTCTGCTGCACTTCAGTTTCTACTACTGTAGAATCCAAGTTTTGAACGTGTCATTCTCACACTCTAGGAAGGAGAACCTGACTCTTCTCTGCAGCCAGACTCCAAAGGGTGGTGTTTTTCAAGAACAGGAGTCAGATTTGAAATTGGCTCATCTCACAAATGCTCCAGGATCTTTGTCCAGAGTGAACATGGATCTTACTTCACCCTGCAGAGCACACTGTGGTACCCACCACATCACCTGTTTTCATGTCTTTGATTTAAGAATTCATGTTTTATTTCTTCTCTTAGTCATGGAAATGGTGTGATTTTTCAAAATCACATCTATACCCTTCTGCATAGGATATCTGCATGTCTCTTTGAACACTAGAGAACACAAAAGAAATATCTGTCATGGGCTTACCACTATTTGCTTTTTTGTTTGTTTGCTTGCTTGGCTGATTTTGCTTTTGAGAAGCCCATTTTCTGAGCTGTTAGTGCAGGGAATCTGCATGCAGCACCAAATCTTCAGTCTCTCCCTCATTCTCCCTGCACATGTGGACACAGGGCCTCCTCCTGGGCTTGCTCCTAGAGTTGGCATAAAGTGGGCCCACAGGCATCAAATCTTAGTACTCAGGTGCTGGAAATCATTCTTGGCTCCATCAGCCCAGACTCAAGGAAGAAGGCACATCAATCGGCCATGGCTCATGATGGAGATGGGAAGCTGAGAGCAGCGTGAGAGAGCACTGTTCCCACAGTCCCCACGATCATGGAATCTACTCCATGTTACCTCGAAGATCATCACACTAGAACTTGGAAAAGGATGGGAGGGTGGGGAGAAGTGACAGGCTCAGTGCAGTCAGTGATCACATGTGTACATCTATTGGTATTCCATTGTATAACAACCATTCATCATAAAATCACAGGCAAACATTAATATCTAGAAGTACTGCAGATAGAAATGAAATGTTAATACATTTTAGGCTGAAAGGCAGGAAAGTCCATGTGTTATAATTAAAAATAACTATGTAACAGAGTCAAATTTTGTCTACCCTTAGTAGTAGGAACAGCAAACATAATCCCAGTAAATTATGCCGTCTAAGGTTTTCTAAATCCCCAAATTAATTTAGTCATTGTGATCTGTGGTTTCATTCTAAAAAAATAACAGTTTTTGGATCTGACTAATTTTGGTATATAGTTTTCTTTTTTTTGTATTTTTTGTAATAAAGTTTCAATTGAAAAATAGGGTTTCCTCCCCCTCTTGTTTGGTTTAGGTTTGTACTTTAATGAATTTTTATCCTCTGGGAGAATTCTGTTATTAGGTTAAATCTGTTGGGTACTGAATGAAAATAAATAAATGGGTCTTTGAAATGTGTTTTCTGGGGGGCATGGACAATTAAAAAAAACTTTGCGGTCAAAAATAGACTTGCCTGTATTTGGAGAGAAACCACACATGGGTATCGCCCAGGATTATTGACGCCTTGCCCTATAATGAAATCTGAGGAAAGAGAGCTTATGAGAACAAAGCAGGCTGAGAGGCATTGTTCATGCTGACTGGGAACATGTGTGGGATGATGGTCTATGAGGATGATCTGATTCTGGGAGCAGGTGTGGGAAGGCAGACAAGAAGGATGCTCTGATCTGGAGTTTATAAACCTTGTGCTTATCTCCTGACTGGAGACCGTGTACCACTTCCTTTATGTATCTGCCTTGAAAGTTCATGGTCTTGTTTGCATCAGTGTGCTATGCTGGTGCAATACACTATGCGGAAGCATAAGAAAATAATGCACATGAAGAACATGGGGGGGGGATGCTAGTGAGGCCAATGGATCTGTAAGCAAGGTACATGTACAAGCTTTCCTTTGTCCAGGCACCCGCAACTGCTGAGTTGACTGCTTCTGCAGTGGTGGCAGTGGCGGTGGTGGTGGTGGTGGCAGTTGTTATTTTCTATTCAAATGGTGAGAAGCAAATCTTCCATGTATTATTTGGTTGCTCTCATGACAATTCTGGAACGTTTCTTAAGTATTCCCTTTGTCTTCAGAATGCTTATCTCAGGTTGGTGTCGACAACACAGTCAAAGCTGGACCTCAGATCTTCTCAGTACAGAAGTCTAAATGCCAAGCTAAGGGGGCAAGTTACTAGATGGGTGAAACTTCCTTAAGTCTGTGGGGTCATGAGAGCTCCCTGTTGGACCAATCTCTTTTTCTGGCTATCCAGGCTGTGCCACTGACATGCAAGTCTCCGTTCTCACTGAAGAACAGAGATGTGGTGATTTCCCCCAAGGTCACCTGCATTTCAAAAGAGCAGCAAGTCTTCATCCTCAGAATCATGACCAGGCCAAGATTCTGGCACCAGTAGAAATCTCTCTCCCAGTCTTACCAGTGGGCAGCTTCATGAAACAGCTGTGTTTGAGAGCTGACAGGAATGGGAAAGTGAGGTGCTATGCTTGCCTTCAAGGGCTCTATGCTCCATAAACACAGAGGCATGAGGACTCCAGGGGAAGCATAAGTGGTCCAGGCCGTAGTAACTGAGAGATAGGACAGCACCACACCTGCACAGACTTTCAGGGGTCCCTGCTGACCCTCCCTCTTCACCTCCTTCCCCCCTCTAGTGAGGACACCATGAAATGAGGGAGCCATGTTCTCATGAACCTAGACTTCCCCTCTCTTTATGACTCAGAACTCCAAATTCCCTATGCAAATGGTACCCAGAGTCCATGTGGCTCCTCCCCCAACTCCATTCTCCAAAGAATCTCCCCGCCCACTGTCTAATGCAGAACCCTGGGCCTAAGAGGTGGCCATAGGGAGTGGTGGTCAGAACTTGGCCATGGGTCCTGGAGTGTCCACACATGCATCTGTGACCCCTCCCGGTGGGAACTGGATGCTGGGGTGGGTAGAGAAGGACCACAGGCAGACTTGGAACCTCTTCTGTACTCTTCCAGGCTTGCTAATGCTGGAAAGGAAGGAAATCCCAAGGGTACTGCTGGGGGTGAGCTAGGCCCACGCGTGGCGCAGGTGAGTCCTACACAGCCTGATCTGCCTTCTGTTTGGAAACTCTCTTCCAGACACTCTGCATTACATTTCCTTGCTATAATCACCGCTTCATTTTTATCATGTAAATGATTTTCACTGGCGTCTACTCTTTGTAAAACTTAGGTACTCAACAAACGCTGACCCCTGGTAACAGTGTCACAGATATCCCTCTCAGAAATTCTACACTTCGGTGTTTCTTGAATAGTGTGTCTAAGTGGTCGTCTCTTTCCTTTGCCTTCTGCAGAAAAACGAGTTCATCGTTTCTGTGAGCATCCAGGCGCAGTGGTACCATTCGGCTTATTTCAGTCCGATGCAGTCCACCTCCTCTGTGGCAGGCATCCCCGTGGTCCTGAGGTCCAGGTCGGCACTGGCTTTGCTCCCGCTGGGAGAGGGCCTCCACTGGAGCCTCAGGATCCTCTTGAGGTACTTACTGGTGTTGTTCCTGACCGACACGAAACACAGCGTGTTGATCATGCTGTTGCTCATGGCAATGCACTCCACCACATAGAAGGCCGTGAGGTAGTGCTTCTCCTTCACAAACACGGAGGGGAAGAAGTCACGCACGATGGTGAAGCCATAGAAGGGTGCCCAGCATAGGACATAGGCCGAGAGAACACACACAAGCCCCAGCACGGTCCTGCGGCGGCAGCGCAGCCTCCGGCGGATCTGCTCGGTCTGGAAGCCCGGCACTGCCTTGAACCAGAGCTCCCGGGACACCCTGGCATAGCACAGGGTCATGGCGAGCACAGGACCCACGAACTCGAGGCCGAAGACCAAGAGGAAGTACGACCTATAGTAGACCTGCTGGTCCACGGGCCAGATCTGGCCACAGAAGATCTTCTCCTGGCTCTCCACGATGACCAGCACGGTCTCCGTGGTGAAGTAGGCGGCCGGGATGGCGATGAGGATGGACACGGACCACACCAGGAAGATCAGGCCCGCAGCTGTTTGACTCTTCATTCGTGGTCTCAGCGGGTGGACTATGGCCAGGTACCTGGGCAAGCACAGAAGAGGAGACAGCCTCTGAAGGAGCCGGTCTGTGATACCGGATGTTACCTGAAGGAGATGCACAGGGCGAGCCTCAGCTCCACCTCTAACTACTCCCCATCTCAGCTTTCTCATCTGCCCAAGGTTAAATGTGATAATGAATATAATATTCCAACCTGACATATACTAGGGGGAAATTACTTTTCAATGTAGTAATTATAGTTCCCATAGGTCTCTGACCAGGCACTGGTCCATCATTTCTCCTAAGGCCTGCAAGGTTCAAAGTTAAGTAGGCCTGACAGCTCCAACCAAATCATGGACCAAGGTTTTGTTTTTATTCCAGGTTTTAGAAAGTATTGTTCTGCATGCAGAGAAGGAAGTGTGTTTACCTCATTTTCCACCTGGAAAGATACAGGCTGTTGAAAGATGAGGAGGTTTCTCAGGGTTATATGACACAAGACCCTTGACAGAAAACATTTAGACTCCCTCTCATGGGGCTGATGTGAAAATCAATTAGTGTACACGTGACTCTTTTTTTAACCACAAAGCATCGGGCAGTAAAAAGTGCTGCTTTTGTTCTCTCCCAAAGAGCCTACACTGTTACCACAGTGGTCCAGGAAGCAGAGAGCACTTTATGAGGCTGTGAGTCACCCGGGGAGCATGATGGCACCCTTCCCAGAGTGCACACTTGTGCAGAGAGCTCCCGCTTCCCGGAAGGCTTTGCACAGCTGGCCCAGTTGGAAGAAAGATGGGAGTGGAGTGGAGAGGACTTACCCATGCTGGGACAAACTCTTTAGTGTCCAAAGCTGATCCCAGGCAGTCCATGGCAATGTGACAGGGCCCTGAAGGAGAGCCGGGCCCATTCTGTTCCCTTTGTGGACAGCCCCCTTGAGGTCATCTTTCTTGGGACTTTGATGGAAGAAAGATCCCTTCTTGTGTTTTTCTGATTGAATTTCACAAAGGTCATCCCATGAAGGGCAAGCCTGGAGGGTCACTGGGGGGAGAGTCCTGTGCTCTTCCAGCTCTCAGGAGTCTGAAGGCTTTACCCTCTGAAACCCCCAGGTGGCTGCTGCTGGCCACCAGCATGCATCCCTGGAACTCGAAGCAACTCCTTAGTGTTGGAAAACTGGAACAGGATCATGGGCACTGTTGGCGTTGTGCATAATGGGACCTTCATAGCAGCCATCATACTGGCTGGAGTGTGGCTCGGAGGTAGAGGACTTGTCTAGCGTGCAGAGGCTCTGGGTTCATGTCACATCAACACACACACACACACACACACACACACACCATCTCTTAGTTACTGAGTTGTGATTAAAATTCTCAGACAAAACCATCTTAAGACAAAAAGGGCTTATTTTGCCTTAGTTTGAGACTACAGTCCATCATGGCAGGGAAGTCATGTCAGGAGTGTAAAGCAGCTGGTCATATCGCATACCTAACCAGTAGAGTGATTAATGCCAGTGCTCAAATTGTGTTAGCTACTTTATACAGTCAATCCTCATCCAATCAATGATCCCACCCAGTTAAGACTACCATCATTGATATATGAAAAAGCTCAGAAAACTGTTCCATCAGCCTTGGCTCTGGAACTCTGTATTAGTACAAAGTTTATAATAGCAAGCAAATCCTTTCATTTAGGTAATCTCAATCCTACTGAAGGAGCAATAGAGCAAAGATGCACGTTTGCTGGAGAAACCAGCTGAAGCACGAAAAAATGGAATGACTTCTTAAAAGCTGCACAGTTCATTGACCCTCAGCTTTCCACAAACCCCATGTTCTCTCTGATATGCCATTTGCTGCCTCCCTTCCCAGCAGGATACGGCATGCCCCCTTCTCTCTGACCTTCACCAAGTCTTAGCAGCCCATCTCTTTTCTCTCTGCCACTGACTTGTTTTCTACCTACACCATTCCTTGAGGCAATCAGACCATTGGCAGCAACGTTTCTCTCTCTATGAGCATGGCTTCGCTTGCTCTGTGTCCATAGCTACAGTGGTTTAAATTCAGATCCACTCAAAGCCAACAGTTCCCAGAGAACAACAAACAAAGCCTGCCAGAGGGCAGTGGTGGTAGAAAAACCTCGTGGGCTGGGACAATAAGATGTAGTTGCCCCAAGCTAAGAAAATCAAACCTGAAAAAAATCACTGTGTTTTGAACAGCTCACAAGAAAAAAAGACTAACACCTTGTATCAAGTGAAACATCGAAGGATAAGAAAGACATGCAGAGCCTCAAAACTGAAGTTAGATGACAGCGGCACAGGGAAAGAAAAACCATCTGGGACAAAGATCACAAATATCAGTTTAAACAGCAAAAACTTAGCATGCCGGGGCAGTGAGTCACCTAGACTGAGGAAGCCATAGGCCAGCTCCTGGGGGCTTTCTCCCATACATGTGTGCAAATTTCCAATCAGAAGCCCACTCAGAGTGGAGCATGATCTGACTCATCTTTCGTAGTGTGTCTAGTTTGCACTGTGAGAGAGATATACACCATATTTAAAAGCAGCAGAGTTTGGTGTGAAAATGGGATATGTACTTGAGCTGTATTGAGGATTTTGGTCCTGCATCGTGGTTGATCAATATCCCTGTTAATAGTACCTCCTTGGTTTATTCCAGCTTCTTTGCCCCCTCAGTGGTGAATGGATCTCATGCAGAACCAGGACTCTGTCACAGCAGGCTCCCATCTATCCTACTTCTAGTGGCCAAGAGCATCTCCTAGGTAAAGCTGTGTCACTAATGTGAAAACCCAGGACACAACCCCATACATTTTGTCTTGTTCCCGTGCTAAGAGACAAGGCAGCTTTTCCATTTTCAGGGCATGCCAGAGACAAAGCTGCAGGGGCCTGCCCTGGGCAGCCCTGAAAGTCACTTGGTTAGCAGACACCTCGGCTGACACTATCCGCTGCTAGGTTTATTTGGATTCCTTGATTATGTAAGTGGGCAAATGTCCCAAGGTTGGTGACTTATATTGAGGACCTCAGTATACCTGTTATGGGTGACAGACCAAGGGCCCATCAGCTGCTGACTCTCTGACATTAATCATCCTCTGGGGAAAAGAGGGATGGGCTCTGACCCTCAGTGGTCTTAAAGACAGACTCTTTGCTGTGCCTTTCCTTAGAAATCTTCCACAGACCATCTTACTCTCAGTTGTATTGCCAGCAAACTTGCTCCATTGCTCCGACTTTGAGCACAGTTCAAACACCCCAGAGCCCTGAGGCCGTGGAACAAGGAGAGCCAGTGCTTTCCACTCTTGGGATGAAGAGGGCCCCAAGCTGTGTCAAGGTACATGGAAGTCTGATTAGCCCCTCGGGGTAGCTGTCCGTAGACCATAACAAGGTGCTTTGTACTTAGAGGCAAACACACAAGGAAGCTTCCAAAGACCCCCTGAAGTCATGGTGATCATCAGCACAAGCTTATATCAAGTGAAACATCGAAGGATAAGAAAGACGTGACCTCACTCTCCATCACTAGAGAAGGTCTTGTACTATATGTAACATGCGTGTGAAGTGAGGTGGCATTAAGACAACACTAACAAGAGTGAGCAACCACATACTCTCTTTCTGTCCCCCCACCTTTTTATTCAAAACAACTCCCCCAATGTTATTTTTAAAACCAGTTAGTGCTGAGATATCATAATTTAATAGAGGAAATCTGGATGAGAGAGGGAATCCCTCCAGATTCTCACGTTTGCCCAAGAAGTAACTCCTTATAGCTTAACCCCACCCCTTGATGCTTCCTCCTACCAGTCTAAGCTGTGATCAGTCATATCTAGGAGAACATCCACAGACAGTGATCAAAGATTTTCCTGCTGCCCAACTCTAGGGCTCAGCTGCCTCCAGCACTGACTACGGCTAGATGTTCCGTCAGTGGGCTTTTGAGTCCCCACGGTCCCATCTATAGGGAATACAGATGCATGCCATCAGTATGCAACTACAGGAAAGAAAGGGACAAAGCCAACACCTTTCTCTGTGTCCATCTTTGTGGCACTCACCTGTCAATGGCAATGGCCAGTAGGGCATTAGTGGAGACATAGAGCGAGACAGTGCGCAGGTAGTTAACAGAGGCACACAGGACATGGCCGTGTTCCCAAGACAGCTGGCGCACCACGTAGTAGTCCATCTCAAAGGGGCAGCACACAATGGCCACCAGAAAGTCCGAGATAGCCAGGTTGGCAATAAGCAGGTTGGTGAGATTGCGAAGCTTTTTGTAGCGGGCCAGGGTAGTGATAAAGATGAAGTTGCCGATGCCACACACCAGCATGATACCCACCAAAGCCATGCCAATGACAATCTTGGCAGCAAAGAAAGTCCAAGAATTGGTCACATCCTCCTCTTCATCCAAGGGTGTGTCATAGTCACCATAGCTAAAAGTGAACGGAAAGGAAGCAGCTTGGACTCCGTGGGTCTCAAGCGCAGTAAGGAAGTTGGTAGAAGTGTCTGTGGTGTTTTCACCCAGAGTCCCCACGGTGGTCTCCATCCAGGCAGGTGGGGCCATGAACACCACTGGGAGCTATTCTGGAGCAGCGTCTCCAAGGCTCTTGGCTCTTCCTCAGCAAATCAGATCTTCCTAACCAGTATCCCAGGGGCACAGTATCTGAGTTCCATTTTAAACCTTTGAAAGACATTCACATGGTTGGCTACATGTTAGAGTGAACCTGGGTGAGTTTAAAATCATTGTGAAACCTGTGCATATCCATTATCCACATGCTCACCATACACACAGATAATGGAATGGAAGAAAGGGGTGGGCGAGCACAGAGTGGAAACCACATTTCCACTCAGCTGGGGAAGGCTGGGGGACTGGGAAGACAGACTCTAACACCACTTATTTCCCCTCCAGTGGAGGCTGAAAAACTGTGCTCTTCCTCAAAGGCCAAAGCTGCAAGTGTAGAAAGGTGGATCAGTTAAGAGGCCGGCTCCAAACCCCACTCTCTGTCTGACAGCCTGAACACTATCTTCACGGGACACTCCCATTCTACAGTGACAGCAGCTGCTTCCCACATCTGGAGAGAAATGACACATCACAGGGTTCAGCCAAACACAACTGCAGAATCACAGAGCCCTGAACCCAGAACCTTCTACAGAGAACTCCACAGAGCCCTCCAGCAGCCACTTCTCCTCACCAAGATCCCTGTGCCCATGTAAAAATCTCCTGGGACTCTCTAAGACTGGCACAGTATGTGCCAAGGCTCGTCCTAGGCAGTGGTCACAGGGGCACAGTCACAGGCTGTCACTTAACTTAGAGGGTTAGAAAGAAGACCCGAAGGCAAAATCCCTGGGTGAGTGGTGTGTCCTCCAGTTAATAGCTTAAACACGCTGGGTTTTAACATCCTCTCGGTCGATCAATACTGTCTGTAAAGCTCAGAGCTGTTGGGGAGGTAGTGTTACAGCCCAGAACCACACCAGCCAATACTCAGGCCTCTAGGCCAGCTCCAAGGAAGGGAGATGACCCTGGATCAGAGACCAGCATACCACAGAGCAGGGCAGAGGGAGAGGGTCTGTCAGTAGTGAATCTCTTATTCCCCCCCCCCGCAACTTTTCCCTTACACCCCTTCCAAGACATAAAGGTATCAGACCAGGGAACGGGATATGGGAGAGGATTGGGGTCTGGAGAGCACCCTAAATGTCAGAAGGGAGGAAGATGGCCAAACCTGAGATGCTGGAAAACAGAGAAAGGAAGTTGCTCCCAGACGAGCTCCCCGCTCCCCCGGAATCCCGCTGTCCAGGAGTAACGCTGACATCCCTCCGCACCCAAGGGGGCTCATCCCACCTGCTCCATCTCACAGCCCATCCCTGGGTTCTGCCCTTCTCTCTTGGCCAACTCAGTCCCCAGCTCTGTTCCTGTCAGATAAGAGGCAGAAGCCAGAGCTGAGAGCCAGTGGACCCTGCCGGGAGCCCAGACATATATCCCTTCCAAGCGGTACCCCATAAGCATGCTGCCAGCAGTGCTTCAACTGATTTAAAGAAAGGGTCCAGAATCGCCTAAGGGGGAGATAGACAGTTGGAGGACTAGTCCCACGGTCTTTCCTGGAACTGTCCTCGGCTCTGTGGAGAAGCCCACTACCCACTGTCCTCTGCTGCTGGGACTTCAGTCCTGAGGGACCCTCTGCTGCTTCACCTGGGGGCAGTCTGATCTCCGTCCACTCCCCATGTATGGTTCTCTGAGTGTCTCCGGGGCTGTCAGTACCTGTGGACCAAGGCGAAGACCAGACGCTCCTCGGGAGCTCTGCAGCAAGAGAAAAGAGCCCCCTCTGTCTTCTTGGGGGGGTCTTTCCAGGCTCCGGTGGCAGTTAGGTTCCTGCTACCTCGGAGAAGCACAGAGCAGCGGCTGAAGCCAGCCAACCCCGCCCACAGAGCGCTGACTCCGCCTCCAGCCAATGTTCCTGCCCATAGTCGGCATCTCCCTCCCACTCCCGCCGTCCCCCCAACTGCTTACCTTCCTATCCCCACCTTTCACTCTCTACCCATTACTCTGAAGCCCCCTAAGCTCCGAGATGAGCCCTTGAGTCGACTTGAGTCGAGCCTGCTGAAAGTGTCTGGATGCAAAGGGGGTGGCTCCGTGTGTCTCCTGAGCGCCAACTCCACACACGGAGGAGCAGTTTGCGCCTGCCTTGGGCACTGAGCACCTCGGGTTCACCTCTCTGGCCCATTGCCCCACAAGTGGGCGGGCTGGTCACGGGAGCTTGGAGCCTTCAAAGGACAGAGAGCTCTTCCCCAGCTACTCTGCTTGAGCACCCGGGACCGCTCAGACCTCACCCCTGCAGCCCTTAGCTGAGCACATTGTCAGTTGCCTGCCCTCTGGGATAGGCTTTCTGAGGGCTTTCTGGAGAATGGGTGCCAGGAGGAAGCCTCCACGCCCATGCCTGTTCAGAATGACTTGGTCTCTACATGTTAAATACAAATTACTACACAGTCAGCAATCCCTTCTGAAATATAAGACTGCAAAAATGACTGAAAGCACACACACACACACACACACACACACACACACACACACACACACACACACACACACACAAAATGTAACATGAATAGCCCATAGCCCCATCCTTCAGAGCACCCTTGTTCTCCACTGAAACCTCACAATCCAGGTCTCCACTGTTTACATACCTGTCAGCTTGCCAGGCTCCCAAACTCCCTCCAGAATAACCCAGTAAGCTCTGTTTACAGAGTTCTAGAGGTTCTCCAACTCATAGGTCCAAACTCTTCCAAATCCTTCTCACAAAACCAATTCAAAGCATAGGGTCCAACAGCAACACTTCCCACTTCTTAGTGCCAGTTTTCAATCCAAGTGCCCATGGGTAGAAGAATGAAGAACAGAATGTGACACAGATGGATACACAGAGAGAAGTGTAATGGAATAATATTCAGCCTTAAAAAGGAGACTCTAACATATGCTTAAGCATGGATATTCGCTTATCGCCATTAGCGTATCATGCTAAGTGAAAGAAGCCTGGCCCCAAAAGACAAATACTGTAGGACTCCACTTACATGAGCTACCAAAGGGAGTCAAACTCATGGAGGGAGAAGTAGAATAACAGAGAGAAACATGGAGAAGTGGGTAGCTGGGCATGAAATTAAATGCCTCCCAGACTCCAAAGAGAAAAATCTGGGGAAAGCTTGGCAGCAGCCTGTGTTACTATGGAAACAAGGTGTGGTCTTTAAGAGGTGTGGCCTACTCACAAGAAGTTAAGTTGTTTCGAGGTTGCCCTCAGCCCTCTTCTCTCACTTTGTTTCCCAGCTTTAATGGGTGAGCACCTTCGCCCGACCAAGTGCTCCCGCCATGATGGTCTGACCTCTCCACAGGCCCAAAACAGAGGAGCCAGCAGGTGTAAACCTCAGAAGTAGTGAGCCATGGAGAATTTCTCTTTTTAAAGTTAGTGAGAAGGTTACAGTGACAGACAGCTGATGAACATAGTGTGTTATTGCTTAGTGAGTACAGAATTTTAACTTCACAAAATGAGTTATGAAGGATGAGCGCTGGTAAACGGGGATGCAGCACTGAGAATTGCTTAATATCACTGACTGGTTAACTTAAAATTATTATAACGGTAAATGTGTGTGCTCCCACAATTTAAATGACATGGTCTCTCTTTGCATCCCTGATGGTCCTGGAACTCACTATGCAGGCCAGGCTGATATCAAACTCACAAAGATCTGCCTTCCCCCACCCCCCATCAAATGCTGAGATTAAAGGTGTGTGCCACCAGACCTGGGCTTCTCCCCCCCTCATATTTCCATATTTAAAATTTTCATTTTTTTATTTTATGTGTGGGGGTACCTGAGTACATGTATGTGCAACTTGTGTAAGCAGGTGCCTAGAGAGGCCAGAAAAGGATTTATGGGTGGTTATGAACCACCTGATGTGGGTGCTGGGAACTGAACCCAGGTCCTCTGCAAAAGCAGCCAGTGCTCTTAACTGCTGGACTATCTCGCCTGCTCCAAATGACTCTCTCCTTTATGTTGTTGTTGCTTTTGGTGCCTGTGTGTGTGTGTGTGTGTGTGTGTGTGTGTGTGTGTGTGTGTGTGTGCCTGTGTGTGTGTAGTCTCGCCATATTGTCTGAAACACCATGTATAGATCAGGCTGGTTTCAAACTCACAGAGATTCCTCCTGCTTCTGCCTCCTGAGTGCTAGGAGTAAAGGTGTGTGCCACCATGTCCTGCAATTTTTCCATACTTTTTAAACAGGGAATAGATGGAATGAATGATTGACATGTGCTATTACACGTGTGGCTCTTGACAACATCACTGTGTGAAATTATTTGGTCACAAAGCCTCACAAACACTGTGTCACTCCACATGTGTGCGGAAGAGCAGACAAAGATCCGTAAGCAGGATGGTGGGGCTGGGAGAGTGACAATATTGTTGAATGAGTTTAGACTTTCTATTTGATAGGATGAAAAGGTCCTGGGAACGAATAGTGACAATAGTTGAACATTGTCAACGTATTTAATGCACCATGTTGAGCACTTAAGACAGCAAACTGTGTTCTGACAAGTTTTTAAAGGTGCTTCTCCTGTGGACTTGTTCAGACCTCATTGGCGAGGCCCCCTGTCTCATGCCAGCCAATGATTGGCTTCCCCTCTCTGCCCAGGCTGCTCTGTTTGTCCCCACCTGCTCTGTTCTTCTCTCCACCATCCCTGGCTCCAGGACACAGCCTGAGTTCCTCCTGTCTGGCAAATGTACTAAATCAGCTCTTTTTCTGCTTCCACCAGATTTACGCTCAACACACCCTCTTCCAGAGCTGGCTCCGAGCTCATCCTGCCTCCCGTTCCAACAACCTCTCTAGAATGCAAGCCAGAGACGCTTGAGTGCCTCCCTAAGCCCACTCAGCAGGTTCTTGGGACTGCTCCCCTTCCTCCACTCCCTGAACCTTGCTGGAGGGGGTGTGAAAGGCGATACAGATGGACAAAGAGACATGACCTGGAACAGAAGCTGTGACATGCAAAGAATGGGGACACTTTTATTAATCTCACCTCTTTAATACTGTCCCAAACATAGTTTCCAAGGGACTCTTTTAGAAGGTGGAGAAAATATCCCTACATTTATTTGAAGAATAAACAGAGAATAGCAAGCAAAATTTTTTGAAAAGGAAGTACAACAGAAAGAAATTTGTCTTGTTAATATTAAATGTTATGGATGCTTGAGCAACAGTGGGGTGACCATAAACTTGAACACAGGGGCTCAGCACATAGCTGTGTGTGTGAAGGCTGAAGTCCCACCACAGTCAACTTTGTGGAAAAACTTTTTGCGTGGGACAGTGGAGGGACAGTGGTCTGTGCCTCTGACTCCAGCCCCCCTGGTTCAGCCGCTTGGTAAAAGGAGGCCAGGGGATGCTGTTTGGAGGCCTCTAATGCAGAACAGGGAAGAAAGTTCTCTCCTGGGAGAGATACGTAGCCTGCAGCAGGCCAGTGAGGGTCCTAATGCTGCAAGGTGGGGCCTTCCCTCTGATGCTTAACATCTGGGGGGGATAGCACCCCAGGCAGATTGTAGGAAGAAGTGTTGACAGGTGAAGTGGATAGAAGGTAAGAAAACCCTCTTCAATCTCAGACTTAGGGGCTGCTTTTCTGCGCTAGTCAGATGGCCACAGCTGTGTCCCCACAGGCTGGGGGACACGACAGAGCAGGAGTCAGCTGAGAATGCATCAAATCTGCAGCTGTGGCATCTGCACCTAGAATGTGGCACTCAGAGGTGAGGTTTGGTGACCCATATTCCGTCCCTCTATGTAGATGGTTCATACGCTTTCTTCTGAGATAATAAAAAGTGAAAGAAATATTCACAAATAACCTTTCAACAGATAATAAGATGATAGGGGAAAACAGTAGCATTCAAAATCACATTGCTGCAGTTTCCTAGGGCTATTGCAAGGAAGTATCACAAACAACAGAGATGTAATCTGCAGGTTAAAGTCCCAAAGCACGTTGGGAGTCTCTGCCTGCCCCCCGAGACTGGACTGAACCCTTTCCTCATGGTAATCTGTGGCTCACAGCTGCTTCACTCCTCTGTTGTCACCTGGCCTCCTTGAGCCTATTCTCTGGGTTGACAATGGTCGCATTGGATCAAGATGCACTCCAAGGGTTTCATCTCTACCCCACTGTCAGATCCCAAAGAAACTCAAGACAAATGACTGGGGTGATTATTAGCACACCAAAGCAAATACTGCCCCCAGGCTCACCCAGTGTCATGGCTCCTCTCAGTTATTCTCACTCCCCTCCCCCAACCTCTCCAGCCAGCCTTGCTTCCCTCCCCAGCTTCTGACTCCTATATAACCCCGCCATTTTGTCTGTGCAGTCTCCTGGCCCCTTCTCTTCAGACCCCTCTGCCTCTCTGCCTCTGCCTCTGCCTCTGCCTCTGCCTCTGCCTCTGCCTCTGCCTCGTCTCTGTCTCTTTCTCTGTCTCTTTCTCTTTCTCTGTCTCTGTCGTCCCCTCCCCCATCCTTCTCCACTTCCCCCTCCTCTCGTGGCCCAGTTCAGTCAGCTGGCCATGTTTAGGTTACTACTTTCTCTCCTGGCTCCTGGACTATTCCAGACACCTCTGACTGTTGCTGCCCCCATATCTACAAGGAAATCCTTCTCTTGGAGCAGTAGTGTCCTTATGTCATTCACTGATCATGTGGGCAAACGCTTGATTTCCAAAGCATACATTCACAGGTCCCAATCCTCTGGGAGAGTCCAACACAGCTCAGTGAAAACAATAAAAAGGAAAACTGCTCCTAGGTGTGGTGGAGGGAAAGCTTGTAGATATGTGGAGAGTGTAGCCAGAGGCAGAGGTAGGGACATCTGGAGAGTCCAGGGTAGAGATGTCCAGACT